TAAACGCCAAACATTGGCAGATACCAGTGTTCTTTACCTTCATCCAGTGACGGTGCTACTTCAGCATGATTATTATCAAGCATCCTTTTGATGAATTCTGTAAAGTCTTTTTTCACTTCAGGTTTTCTTTGCAAGGTTTTACGTAGTGTGTTCAGGCGCTTCATGGCCTGCTCCCTGTTACTGGGTAAGTAACACCTTGGTGTGCGAAAGGGTAAGGGAGCTACCCAATTGTTGTTTTCATCTTGGAAAGTCTCTTTATCCATGATATGGAGAAAAGCTCGATCATCTATAGACATTGCTTGTTTGTCGTCATCTTTTGTTCTCTGGAATACTGAGTTCCCTAAAGTGTCAGACTCCATGCCACTACTAATGTCTCTATTGTAACTAGAAGGAAAGTCACAGTATTCTTTTGGGATGTTAAGGGTTTCTTTCACAACAAAGCTGTTTTGGCATGGATTTAGAAGGGATGTGCGTCCATTCAGTAGCACATATGTCTTTGACGTATTGACACTGTCAGGCCGATGTACTGCTCCTAGACAAACTTCTCCTACTATGACCCACCCTAGGTCAAGTCTTTGGGCATAGGGGGCATTAAAGGGCCCATTAATTTGTTGACATACCTTATGTACTTGTAGAATGTCTCTCCCGAGAAGTAGAAGAATAGAGGCATCTGTCTGGATAGCTGGAATAAGGTGAGATATTGAATTGAGATGAGGATGATGACGGGCTACTTCTGGTGAAGGGATCTCTGTTTTATCATCCGGTATCATATCACACTCTATCAAAATGGGAAGTGAGAGATGGACTCTCTTGTCAAGAGACTCAATAGTAAAGTCAGTAGCTCTTCTTCCTGAAGTTTCTATCATTCCTGCACATGTCTTTAGGGTGTATGGGATAGCACTTGATGTAATATTGAAGGCATCGAAAAAGTCTGACCTTGCCAGTGACCTGTTACTCTGTTCATCCAGAACTACATACATCTTAACTGCCTTCTCCTTTTTCCCTGTGGGGTACACTGTTGCTAGGCAGATCTTGGCACATGAGCGTGGACTTGTACTGTCGCCACAGATTTCAGTGCATTTGGACATTACTGGGGTAGCTGAATTATCCTTTTGCTCCCTGCCCTCATCTTTCTGCTCTTCAGCGACCTCTAGTGGTTGACGCAATGTATCAGGGTGTAAAGCTGTGATGTGTCTGTTACTGCCACATTCTGAGCAATCCGCTTGTATTTTGCAGTCTTTTGCTACATGCTTAGTGGATCCACAACACTTGAAGCAGATGCCATTTTGTCTAAGAAAGGCTATCCTTTCCTTGATGGGTTTACTTTTGAACCCTTTGCACTTGTTTAGAGGATGAGGCTTTTTATGAAGTGGGCAAAGTCTGTCAGGACCTTTCAAAGGTGTTTACCTTGTAGCTGCTTGGACTGCCTGGGTCCTCAGAGGGAACCGCTGTCTTGTGGGCGATCACTGAAGTCCTATTGTAGGATCTAAGTGGCTTTTCTGCCTTTGGCAGTTGACTGCTGGTGATGAAGGAAAAGCTGGGATCACACCGGATCCTTGCTTGCTGCTGTACAAATCTAGAAAACACAAAGAAAGGGGGGGAAGGGGACATCATATTCTTCTTTGTATTTGGCTCCAACACTCACCCATTTTTCTTGCAGGTTGTGAGGTAGTTTCTCCACTATTGGCTTAGTACCGCTGGCGGTATCTAAATGTGCAAGTCCTCTTAAATAGCCTTCTTCTTTGGCACACTGGACTTCCCAAAGAATATCACCCAGCTCTTGCAGTTTCAAGTTGTCTTTGCTGTTTAGCTTGGGAAAAGACTCAAGTCTTTTCATTAGAGCACCTTCAATTGCCTCTGGTGATCCATATCTTTCCCTAGCCTCTGCCAGGCCATATCAAGTCCTGCTGGAGGGTTAAATATATGTACCCTGCGCATCCTTCTTGCATGTTCTGCTGACTCCGTCCCAAGCCATTTTATCATCAGGTCCAGCATCTCGGCTGCTGATAAGCCTAAGTCTTTGACTGCATACAGAAAAGAAGACTTCCATGCCCAGTAATTCTCAGGGCAGTCATCAAACTTGAGAAAGCCTGAATTAACAATTTCTTTACGGATAAGATATTTAGTGACATCTTGTGTACTCTGGTGTTTGGATTGCTGTAGTAAGGATTAATTTTTAATCGCTCTGGTACTGCTGGCCTCATCGGTTTGTTTTTGTACGCTCAGGGGTTCTGCTGGTCTTGGTTTAGATTCAGCTGATTCTGGATTGGTTTGTTTTTGTACACTCAGGGATTCTGCTGGTCTTGGTTTAGATTCAGCTGACTCTGGATTAGGGAACTGTTTTGTTGCATTGCTGCTTGAATGTTCTTGGACATACTCCCTTGTGCGTTCTACTGAGGAGAGGGGTTTCTCAGGCACATATGGGCCTTCGTGGATAGACCCACTTCCATACCGTTCCATTTCGGCATAAGCTGCGGCCTCTGCGGCTGCACACTGACGCTGAAGAATATGCAACTTTGCTTCTTGTTCTGATTTTTCTTTTTCTTTCTCTGCTCTTTCCTTCATAATGGCAGCCTCTGCTGCTGCACTGCAGCGGCGGCTTCTTTCTCAGCCCTTTCCTTTATAATAGCAGCCTCTGCTGCTGCAGCGGCGGCTTCTTTCTCAGCCCTTTCCTTTATAATGGCAGCCTCTGCTGGTGCAGCGGCGGCTTCTTTCTCAGCAATTTCCTTCATAACGGTGGCCTCTTTCTCAGCGAATTCTAGCTGAACACGAGCTGCCTCTGCTTTGGCGCGAGCTCTGGCTAAAAGGGCACTTGCTGATGAAATCTGACTGGACCTTGCTGATCTAGACGAGTGTGAGCGTGCATCATCTTGCTGGACACTTGGCATGCTCTCCCTGCCTTGATGTGTCCCGGGTGGCTGATCTTCAGCCTTATACTGTCTTCCTGATCTTAGACTCATTCTGTCTGTGCAGTGACTCCTATCTCCAGGCTTGTTGCGCTTCACCTTTTCACTGTTCCGTTCTCAAAACACTGACTATGTGTGGCTCTAAACGGACAGCTAAACCCTTGTCAGAATCCCCAGCAAACAGAAGCCCACTGCTTGTGTTGTCTACCAAAGAATCCAACTTTATTTTATAGGTGAAAAGGTGATGATGTCTCAAGCCCCTTGGGAGAGAAGCAAGCACACTGCATCCCCAGTGAATAGAAGTCTAAAATGGCTGATGAGCTTCCTAAACAAAGAGTCACTTCCTGTCTGAGAGCTTACATATCCAGAGGAGAACTGCCATACATGTTTGCCACTAGATGGCAGTGGTACACTACATGTCCCATATAAGTAACTTTAATTCAATTAGCCTGTGAAGGCAACACAGTGAGTACAGTATATATGTGTCATATTTTGTAGATCCCCATGGAAGCTGGAAGTCACTGTAGCAGGCACCACTACTGCAGTGATTTCTGCTAGCTGCTGGGTCTTGTGCCGAGTGGCTGCCCTGTTGCACAATGAACACAGGTGGTCGCATGGCATAGGCTGAATTCAGAGAACACTTTGCATTTTTTCTGGTAGGCAAAAGGGGGTTAAATCCATAAAAACAGGTTGGGCATGCAGCAGGGGGCAGAAGTCCAGTAGACAAAGGGGGTTAGTCCGTAGCACAATCTGAGCACACAACAGGGAGGCAGGACTCTGGCGGGCAAGGGTTAAGTCCTTGGCACAAGGGTTGGCACACAGCAAGGAGGTAGAACTCTGGCAGGCAAGGGTTAAGTCTGGGTTAAATCTTCAGCACGGGATGGCACACAGCAAGGAGGTAGAACTCTGGTGGGCAAGGGTTAAGTCAGGGTTAAATCCTCAGCGCAGGGGTTGGCACAACTCCCTTCCAGACTTTTTCCACTCAACATTGTCCCTTGTATAAACATTTCTCACATTGCAGTGTTCATGCCTCCTCCTTTGAGATTCTTTGTAATGCAGGTTTCCCTAAATTATTCCAGTGCCATGTTTCTTACTGCACAGGGACATTGTTCCATAAGTCATATGTGTAGTAGGAGCATGCACAATGCAGTGATAAATGTCTCTGGAGGGGAAGTAGACTCTGTGCAGTAAGAAACATGGGAGTTGTGATGGAGAGCAGAAATATTATTTTATTTTTGTGTCATTTGTTGAACTCAACTGTGTGTCAAGCAGTCAGCTTGTCTACTTAATTAACTCAAGGAGTTCCTGTGCCCCGCAGGTAGTGGGAGATGAGGTTGATCTCAGCAGGAGGCACAGACAGCACAGTGTCCTGTAGCTGGATAAAGCCAGACGTGTCGGCACTGGGTGCTTGAAGTTTGCTTGATTTGAAGGGACAATATAATGTCCCTATGCTGGCAGAAAGGCTCAGACCTTTTTTCTGAGTTTATTCCTGTGATGGACACACAGGAGCTGACAGCTGCATGTCTTCCTAGAAAATGCTAGCCAATAACTGAGGGAGGTGACTATGTCTATATTCTGTCTGTGCTGCCATTATTTCATGAGTTATGAAATATACTGAAGTTTTAGAGTCATCAGGGATGTGTATTCTCCTGACTTCCAACTAAGGTATTTATGGCCCAATGTCTGGTAACTTTCTAGTCATTGAAGAGGCTATGTCAGACACTTTTATGGTCCCTGCAATGTATATTGAGGGTAAGATCCTGCTAGTCTTTTTACCCAGGCTGATAAGAGTTGTCAGCAAGCAACTAAGATTTTGTGGATTGTATGAGCTGAATGGAGGAGGGACCATAACTGGTCCTGTAGCACATGCCTGAGTATTCCTTCTGAGCAAAACGCCAGTCTGGTTTGAGTTTGTAGGATTTTATCAGCTCTCCAATGTGAAATGTCACTTTAAGTTGTGAAGTCCTTCCAAATCAGTAACAACACTTGTGGCCTGACACAAACAGAGACCCTAACTAACTAACAATGGGCCTGGACTCAGTCTCAAGGCGCCAACACTGAAATGAGGTGCGTGCACGATCTTACCGACCCAGGTCTGCTTTGCATCCGCTGGTGACTCTGAACAGAAGAAATGTCTCTCCAACAAGCATGTGCTCTTGCCATATATGTTGCTTAGTTCCTCTGCTCTCATCAGCCTTCCTGGCAGCAATCTCATCAGCATTCCTGGCAGCAATCTCATCAGCTTCCTGGCAGCAATCTCATCAGCATTCCTGGCAGCAATCTCATCAGCATTCCTGGCAGCAATCTCATCAGCTTCCTGGTAGCAATCTCATCAGCATTCCTGGCAGCAATCTCATCAGCTTCCTGGCAGCAATCTCTGGTTACTGAGGGATGCTTTCACACCTGGATGTCATCAGATTTGCAGCTCACACAGTCCCTTATTCACCATGCTCCAAAACATAGCTTCTCCCTCTCCTTCCTGTTCTCACCAACTCTGTGTGCAAAACCCCACCTCTTCATGAATATACAAATATCTATACAGTCTGAGGCTGTGTTAGAAAAACAGTGACATCTTGTGGCTAAACCGCAGAATGTCAGTCAAAACATTAATTTACTTCCACACAAACAGTGTTCAAACAATGAGAGCTGTTTCCCCATCTCACACTGACACCAACAATAAGGTGCTATTTCTTCCACTGATACCAATGGTGGGGTCCTGTTCCTCCCAGTAATACCACTGATGGGCCACTATTCCTCCAGCTACTGATCACAGGTGCTACAGTATGTAACTGACTACCAACCCTGTGGCAATGTTTATTCTCACTGATGTTGGGCCCTAGATATTTTCTACCCCCACTGGCTGCAATCCGGTCCCCCTAATGTCTGAAGGACAGTAAACTGATTCTAAAAACTTGGTTTTTCTTCAAAATGACAAACCCATCATACACACCCGCTCTGTGCCATAGTTTTGCAGTTTTCGCATCCTCCTCCTCTCCGGTCACCAGCTGGAGGTTGTGCGTACTCGCTCTCGAGCTGCCTGTGTGTCTATGGGACACACAGAGTGTGGCTCAGTCCTGTCCCCAAATTACAGTAATGCAAGAGTTTATACACAGACTTAGGGCCGGATCACACCATAGAAACGTACTCAGGATGCATTCTGGATGTGTTTCTGTATGCGCGATTTTGCCGCTTTCTGGTGCGTTTTTGATGCGTTCAGGTTCATTTTTTCCCCCTTCAACTTAAATAAGGACATGTGTGTGCTGGTGCATTCCAATGAGTTTTATTGCGTTTCAGTACAGTTCAATGCAGAAAAAATGCAGCATGTTCTACTTTTTTTTCTGGAACTGGAACGCAATGGAACTGAATGAACTGGTGTGAATTATTCCATTGGAAACCATGTAACCTACTATCAATGTGTTTTTGATGCAGAAAAAAAAAGTATGCACTGGACTGCGTGTGGTGTGTACTGGCTCTGAAGCCCAGTATTCACACTGAGAATATCGGATGAATAATTGTCTGTTTTTTTTGGTGGGGGGGGGGTTCATGCTAGTTTCATCATGAAAATGAAGAGGTTCCCAAAGTTATGAAAATTCACGTATGACAGAATACAACTTTAGAATGTATTGTATTGTGATGTGTTCTTTCATTTCCGAGCATGCACGGTCTTGGTCTCTCAAGTTTTTTATGGATAAATACCACTGGCGTCCCAAGGCAGGTGCGCTACATCGGGTGACACCTATCACATGGGGTGACACTGGACCCACTCCATGAAAAGGTATATTTTAAAGCAAGCCGACAATCCCCGCAGGATGGATCGGATCTGTGGACGGAGCATAATGGATCGGAGCCCGATACATTATGCTCCCCAATCTGCAGATCCAATCCATCTTGCGAGGATCGTCGGCTTGCTTTAAAACTTACCTTTTCGTGGAGAGATCAGTTAACCCTGTATAGGTTGCAAGCCGACGATCCCCGGTGGGATGGATCGGATCTGCTGATTGGGGAGCATAATGGATCGGACTCCGATCCATTATGCTCAGTCCACAGATCTGATCCATCCAGCGGGGATCGTCGGAGGGGTGACACCAACCCTAGGGACAACCCTGATGAATACTGTACTGATTAAATGAAAATCGTTCTGTTATTGTATGAGAAAACTTTTTGTGCTTGTTCCTTGGGATATTATCGTATGAACTGTTGAGATCGGCTCTCGAAAGCTGTGTACTAACGATCAGATTATCAGACGATTGCTCCGAACGTGGTATTTTTTGTTCGACATTCTCATCGTGTGTACGAGGCTTAGAGGAAACATATCAGGAGAATCATAATCTCCTGTTCCCAAAATGTTCGTTGTTTGGCTGTCATCCTGATCGTCTTCCTTCACTGGTTGGAGTCACTGATCCAGGACAAGGCTCCATATCAGGACTTGCACTGCTCTGACTTTCCTGGTCTGTGCTGTTGTTCCAGGGGAGTGACACTAGCTCATCACAGCCAGGCAGCGAGAATGTTCCTAAAGTCTGCTGTATGAAGTTGTATTTCTCCCAAGGAAGGCTCTCTGCTGGATCGCACCGCCTTCTTCCACAATGAACTCCCTCTGCATTTAGTACTAGTAACGGGATCTAATTATTGGTCCGAGAAGAAACCGGCCAATGTTCCCAGAAGACACCTGTTTGAGCCTCCCGGGCAGCGTCTTCAGTTGCTATGGCACCGACGGCTTACAAACAACCAGGGCAGATCCGCTTGGACATTCCTGGGATATGATTGGCTGGCACAAACCTCCTACCGATGACACAACGTCCAAGTCTACCAATTGCGACTCACTTCCGCTGTGAGAACGGCTGACTTGGGCAGGCAAACTACGCCCCTTGAGTCCGGCGCCTGCGCTTCCCGCCTTTCCGGTCAGTTGCCGGTGACACCGGGGAGAGGAGGGAAGGCTACGGCGGCCGGATGGTAAGGAAGGGCCGGGCTGTTCTGTGTCCACGGTGCTGGTCATGGAGGAGCCGGGCGGTTAGAGCGGTGTATAGACAGTGTGTACAGAGGTGTCGGGGGCGGGGTTAGTGCTGTCATGTGTGTTTACCTGCTTGTCATGGTGGGGGAGGGGGGACTCAGCCTGGCTGTGGCAGTGAGGTGACTACATTAGAGGAGAGCTGGCAGAGGCCTTCCTTCCCTGCATGGTCTCTCCATACAGTATGAGAGGAGCACACTCTGCTGCCTGCACTGATTGGGAATGATGCCCCCTCACTTCCTGCACCTCCAGTGTACACACCTGTGGACATAAACAGACTGTGAGCCCCACCACGTGAGAATGCATGCAAACTATTACCCTGAGGTCTTGTTTACACAGTTGATTGGGGTGCTGTAAAACCCTGAGGTTGAGCCACATTTTTACCTCCCTTCAATCACTCCTCTTGTTGCAGAAGCAGCAGCTGGGGGCGTACACATGCTGCGAGCGCAATGCTTTGCTTCATGGCAGGAGTCATACCCCCTGTCTGGTGCGTGGGGCTGCGTTGCAACTGTACACAGGCAAGTGTTTGGTATTTAGGGGGTTAAAGCAGGTGGCGATACAACCCCTGCTAACCACCTGTCAAAGGCTCTCTGAAGAGCGACCCAAATACAGATTGCTCTCCAGAGTGTAAATGAGCCCTAAGAGAATGGTCTCTGAACCACTGGATGTGGCCCTTACTTGACTGTATCTGGCCCTTGGGACACTGTTCTTTGCATTGATGCCAATGATGGGACACCATTTTTTCCACTGTTGCCAACGATGAGGCACTATTCCTTCCACTGACACCAATAATGGGGAACTATTCCTTCCACTGACACCAATAATGGGGAACTATTCCTTCCACTGACACCAATAATGGGGAACTATTCCTTCCACTGACACCAACAATGGGGAACTATTCCTTTGACACCAACAATGGGGAACTATTCCTTCCACTGACACCAACAGTGGGGAACTATTCCTTCCACTGACACCAACAGTGGGGAACTGTTCCTTCCACTGACACCAAAAAATGGGGAACTATTCCTTCCACTGACACCAACAGTGGGGAACTATTCCTTCCACTGACACCAACAGTGGGGAACTATTCCTTCCACTGACACCAACAATGGGGAACTGTTCCTTCCACTGACACCAACAGTGGGGAACTGTTCCTTCCACTGACACCAACAGTGGGGAACTGTTCCTTCCACTGACACCAACAGTGGGGAACTATTCCTTCCACTGACACCAACATTGGGGGAACCGTTCCTTCCATTGACACCAACGATGGGGAACTATTCCTTCCACTGACACCAACAGTGGGGAACTATTCCTTCCACTGACACCAACAGTGGGGAACTGTTCCTTCCACTGACACCAACATTGGGGAACCGTTCCTTCCATTGACACCAACGATGGGGAACTATTCCTTCCACTGACACCAACAATGGGGAACTATTCCTTCCATTGACACCAACAATGGGGAACTATTCCTTCCACTGACACCAACAGTGGGGAACTGTTCCTTCCACTGACACCAAAAATGGGGAACTATTCCTTCCACTGACACCAACAGTGGGGAACTATTCCTTCCACTGACACCAACAGTGGGGAACTATTCCTTCCACTGACACCAACAGTGGGGAACTATTCCTTCCACTGACACCAACAATGGGGGAACTGTTCCTTCCACTGACACCAACAGTGGGGAACTGTTCCTTCCACTGCCACCAACAGTGGGGAACTATTCCTTCCACTGACACCAACAGTGGGGAACCGTTCCTTCCACTGACACCAACGATGGGGAACCGTTCCTTCCACTGACACCAACGATGGGGAACCGTTCCTTCCACTGACACCAACGATGGGGAACCGTTCCTTCCACTGACACCAACGATGGGGAACCGTTCCTTCCACTGACACCAACGATGGGGAAACCGTTCCTTCCACTGACACCAACGATGGGGAACCGTTCCTTCCACTGACACCAACGATGGGGAACCGTTCCTTCCACTGACACCAACGATGGGGAACCGTTCCTTCCACTGACACCAACGATGGGGAACTGTTCCCCCCACTGATACCAACGATGGAGAACCATTCCCCCCACTGACACCAACGATGGGACACTATTCTCCTCCACTGACACCAACAATGGGACACTATTCCCCCCCACTGACACCAACGATGGGGCACTATTCCCCCCCACTGACACCAGTGACGTGGCACTATTCTTCCCCTTACTGACTGCAGACACTATGTAATTTGTATTATTTCCACTTTCAATTTTCAATGATGGGGCATTCTTCCCCCCACTGGCACCAATGATGAAGCACAATTTTCCCCCTTATTGACCACAGGCACTATGTAATTTTGTAAATCACACTGACCACCAAGCCTGAGACATTATCTATCCCCAATTACACTTGGGCATTTTATACTCCCACTGGCCACAGTCTGACCCCCTAAACTCTGAAGGACAC